ATTAACCCTATGAATGATGATTCTAATTCGAAGTAGGATAATAGAATGATCATTCTTACAATTTATTGAACAAACAACAACTTGCGAAATCGTTTTACGTCAAAGGTGCATCAGCAATTAATTAAAATAATAATTATTGGTGCGGATGCAACATCAGCGATCTTCATATAGTGGCTGTATGTAATTTACTGAATCGATCCTGACGACATTTGCTACCGTAGAATGTACCTTGGTATTTAAACTAATTTAAATGCCCAAATTTACCCAGCAGTCATTATTCTATGCGGACGAAGTCGCGGGCAACCGCTAGTCCAAACTAATCCAAACTATCAAAACTTCCAAACTAATATTATAAATGCGAAAGTAACTCTGTCTGTGATTGCTTCACGCCTAAACTACTGAACCGATTTGTGTGAAATTTGGTACAGACATAGTTTGGAACTTGAGAAAGGACATAGGGTAGTTTTTATTACAAAAAAATAATAAAAAAAAATATTTCGTAAATACAGCGCCATCTATTGGTCAAGAGTCGGCATCAATTCAGTACTGAAAATTCAACGGGAAAACGTTAATAAATAGTAAAAAGGTATGAAAAATGTAATATAATACAACTTTTAGTACAAAGAAAATACTCTAACGGAGTATAGATAATTCTATTGTCGAGTTGGTGATCGCGCAATGGTGTCGATAGTTACATGAGTTCGGTTCATGTTATTGTTTTAATTCATCGGAAAAAAGTAAATAAATAGTTAAAAGGTATGAAAAAAATAATATCAATATAATAAAACTATTAGTACAAAGAAAATGCCCGAACGGAGTATAGATAAATAATCTGAGTTGTCACTATGCTCGATAGATGGCGTTGGGATTGAAATTGATCGCGCTTTGGTTTCGTTACACGCATTCGGTTGGGTATCGGCCGAGTGCTTCGGTACTGTCGTGGAATTGAGGATTGATCTCGATTGATTGATAGTTTGATCTCGATTATTAGTAGATACTAAAATCGTATGTCTAATTCATTTTAATTTTTAAATTAATTAGATCGTTCCTTTTAAATGATATAGTTTTAAGCTTGGTTATAAGGGAATAGGTAATTTGTCAAGGGAGACAGTCTTTTTTTCTGAAATGGCAAATCAAAATAATATTTTGAAAATAAGGGAATAACAACATTTTCGCCTTTTTCGATCGGCAATAACGGATTTCATGCCCTAAGCGAGTATACATATCTTCAATTCAAACACAGAGCTCATTATGTTGATTCTTGAAGAGTTCCCTAGAATATCTTCCACATTTCATTTTTGAAGAGATCCGGAACTATGTGGGTAAAACCAAAAATCTGCCGGAAGTCACTATTCCACGCGAACGAAGTCGCGGGCAAAAGCTAGTGATCTATAAATTTATTATGATACCTATCCAATTTGGATATATCAGTGTGATTCGCATGCTTTCTCCCACCTAAGTGATTCGGGAGGGAGTGTCAGACTCTCACTGATTTAAAACTAATCCGTTCCTACTCCTGCACTTCGAGCCGGAGCCCCGGTAACCTTTTACGTTCTTCGCGGTTCCGTATCGGCATCAGCCCTATTGGGCCCCATCCGTCGTGGTCTGATGGTTCTTTTAGGCGCACGTGGAACGCGACGCCCGTACGTTCGGATTTGGTTCTGGTCGGGCAGCGAGCTACCCATGCTTACCGTCCGCAGGCCTGTGGAGTTGTTGAGGATGGAATCGAAATTCACTAACATAATATTATGGATGATGACTCATGGAAATAAAATACACTGAAGTAGAAATCATTCATATGATTTTATTCATACCAATTAGTAATCTTAGAGATGTAATTCTAGCTTATCAACTATATTAAAATACTGGGCTCATCGTTACTAAATAACTTGTTATAAAATAGCTAATAACATTGGACAACGCGTTCAATTCCATTGGATCCATTTGTCCCACCATTGGTTTTGTTTCTGCTTACGTTTCTCTACTTCCTCAGGCCATACGATACCCTCGATCCAGGGCACATAGTATGAGACCCTGGTGTACATGCCAGCTGAGCCGAGGATGCCGCAGTCCTTACCGTATGATGTCACACCAATTACTGTCTGGTAGCATCCCTCACTACCATATTGAAGAGGTCCTCCGCTATCACCCTGTTGATAAATATTTAGGTTTAAGTAACGAAACAAATATTAGCCGAAATCACTTCTGAATTTCGATTTGTAAATTACGTTTTTTGGGCTGACTTAGGTGATAAAATATTTTTTACCCGAATACATATTCCTATGGGATAAAACAGGAATCATATTCTACGCAAACGACAACAGCGGGCAACAGCTAGTGAAAAATAAATATAGGTAAGCAATTTTCACTTACTTCACAAGTATCTATGACTTCGATACGGGATCCGTAACACATTTGTTTTGAGTGATCGTAACCGTTAGTTAAATGTCTGTGTGGTTTGTATATTGTCGAACATTCAGATCTCTGGAATTCCTCCAGATTAACCTGAAAAAGGTATATTTTCCATTAATAAATAATCAACAGCCAGTGAGAGTTCACTGCTGGAGGTTTGCCGTAATCACAACGCTTGGCAGATGGGTTGGAATATGCAGCTTATCAGAAACGGTCCCGGTCTCTGTTAAATAAGTAGGTAGACCCTTAGTCGGCTCTTACAACACCGAAGAATAAGGGGGTACAAATGAATTCTATATACTATAATATCATCTCAATGTATACGTTTAAACTGTCAAACACCGCGAGGACACCGGTGAATGCAACCTATTGTTCTTTAATTGTGTCTATAATGACGGTACTCAAAGAGTTAAGGTCTTCATCTACACTTACCACTTGTAGGGTATCTGCCAATGCCTGTCTGTGTCCTAAACGCCCCCAGCCTGAGGCATCAGCAAATCTTATAGGATCACCTCCTGTATACAGACATGCTGGCAACAAGTCCTGTCCAAAAGCTATCCTGAAATCATAGTTTCAATTGTAGTATTATCATACCGTAAAAATAGTTATACAAAAGTATAGTTCAAAAATGATACTTTTTTAGTTCTTTATTATTGTATATATAAGGCCTAAAACGGAACCTTGTGGAACACCAAGCTTAAGACAACGATAAAGTAGTCGGTTTATAACTTACTCGTTTTCCGTCTCCAAGAGTGCTATGTCATGGTACTTGGAAGGTGGTTTGTACTCAGGATGATTGATGATTCTCTTTATTTTGTATATCTTCCAGTTTTCCTTGGGGTCCGTCCGTCTCAAAAGCCCAAGTGCGGCGTACTGAATGCTGCCTCTAGAAATATTTCGAATATTTTAGTAATTTTGTTTAATGTACATAATACACGAAAGAGAGTATAGCTATAAACTTACAGCAAGCGAGTAGATGAGCAGTGTGCAGCAGTGAGTATAAATCTCTCGCTGATGACAGATCCTCCACACAGCCACTGGGCAGAGTCCACGTCCTCTCCATAACCGAGCAAGGCCTGGAAATCGGAATCCATTTTATTAATCACTCGCACCTTTTTTTTATGTTGCAATTATGAAGGATGTCGTCAGTTTTGTTTTGTAAGATTCATTATAATTGTTCGAAATGTTTCTATTTAGCCATATATTAAATAAACTTAACAATAACAGTAATATGTAACGAACGGAAAAAAAAATAAAGAAGATAATAGCATATTGTTTCTTATATCATACCACGTGTGGGAACTCCCATCTTTTGGCATCTCGTCCTCCTACAGCGAATCCAACACCACCAGGAGTAAACGTATGGTTGTGACACTTGAGATGATGCAGCCAAGTCTTGTCGATTGTAAAGTACCCAGGAAAACGACAGCCAAACGGAAGCTTATGGAAATACTCGTAGCATTCTGGAAATTAAAAAAAAAAACATTGCTGAAATAAATTCAAAACACGCTCAATTATCTGCTGATCATCAGGGGAAATGGATGGATAGGTAAAATTATATTAGATGTAGAATTAAACCTACTTTCCCAGGCCACGGAATCCTTTTTGGGGACCATAAATCCATTCGCACCAATGGTAAAGTTGCGGTACCTAGAAACCAGAATGATACATTTATTTATTAAGGACAAAATATAATTTTGTATTGTTTAGCACTATAAAAAGTTTTATAGGTATGTCTAATGTCTGTCTCCACTCCATCGGTCATCGGTTCTCTGATAAATGTGACTGGGCCACTGCTAGTTCAGCTTGCTAATCATTTGTTGTGTATAGTTGTTTACTAAGGCCATGATTCGTCACTAATTAATCGACTAGACCGGAGTGATAAATACTTCAAACAAAACTGATGTGAAACAATGTTTGCGGTATGTTTCGATGTGTGCTTGAGGTTGTCGGAGGCAATACTCTCCCTCGATGCCAAAAGGCCGGCAACGCACTTGTATAACTCCTCTGGTGGTACAAGGCGGGGCGAGCGTCTACCCATCTGTCCGTTTGCCGACTTCTTGTACAAAAGAACTAAGAAACTTACTTCTCCTGCCCAACATCACAGTCGGTGCAGCAGACTACAGGCTCATTGTCCTTGTAGGAACATATTTCAGGAAGTGGTGGGATTTTGTACTGCTCCAAATTGAAACCAGCGTTACCCTGAAATGAGAGAGGATAACTTAATACTAAATTATGTTGTAAGAACGAAGATGAGACTGGACTTAAGACTTATGCAAACCTGTTTCCGGAATTGGGCTTGCAACTACATAATTATCAATTTTATTGCATTGTTGTCTGTCAAGATTCAAAAGGCTAACAGAGAACGCATCGTCAAAGTCAAACGTTTATGATGGTTCTATAAACGGGAAATACGTAAAACATTACGTAACATTTTAACATTTTAGGATTCTCTAGTACTATAAAAGAAAAAAATCCATATACGTAGCCCTAAATCTTAGATTACATAAAGGAGTATAAAAGGTTTTATTAATTATATTACTATTAGATGTAAAGCACTTCCGATAGTTGAATATTAACCATATTTCGTACATTTTGGAGCTCCCCTATTTAAGACAATTTGCCGTAATCTCTTCGCTTAGTTTAGAGGAGGATTAGGAGTATAATTCATTAGCAATGGGACAGTTACACAATGAAAATGATGATAATAATGATCTATAAATTGATTCACTTGATTCGGTTGAAATGTATCTTAATGTACTTACATATAAATAAGTTAATGCTGCCGAATTACATTTAAAGACGTTCACACACACTCCCCTTAATCCTGTGGTGATGCATGGAGCTCCTGAAACATTTGTAATTTAAATATAAGTTTCTCAGTTTGATCTGTGTGTATGTTTGTCTTTTCAGAATAGTGTTTTACTAATTACATGTAGGATCAGGTTATAGCACCAGTAAGGGCTCGTACACAAAACTGCGAGCTGCGAGCAAAAATGTGCGAGCTCTCTCTACGCATCGCAAGAACTTGCGAATTGATTCGTATCGCGCATCAAAATCTTATCTTCCCAAAATCTTTTTTGGTTTCTTTTTCCTGTATCTCCTAAGCAACAGCATAAGTGCACACTTCCTTTTACGATCCATGTCACGACCTAGTTTTCAATTTAAAATACGTTTAGTACGGTCACCCTGGGAGACGCCTTGTCGTACGAAATCACATCGCAGCAATTCTTGTTTGCGTTGCGAATTGGCATCGCATTGCATCGCAGTTTTGTGTACGGGCCCTAAAAGCAGTCTATTGAAAATTATTTATATTTATTTGGGAGATAGCCTACTTGACCTACACAATTTGAACATAATTATTTTTAACTAGCTACGCTAGTGTCACCCGCTCTGCTCGATGCCTATTGCTCGTAGCGTGATATTTTATAGCCTACAGCCTTCCTTGATAAATGGACTATCCAACACAAATCTGTAGAATTTTTCAAATAGGACCATTAGTTCCTGAGATTAGCGCGCTCAAACAAATAAACTCGTCAGCTTTATATTAAAGTAAGTATAAGTTATTTGACTTTAGATTTCATTACATTTCAATTATATACTTAGAATAAAGCATAAAGTATAAATTGTCATTCATATCTAAGTATGACTCAAACTCTTAAACTGCGTAAGTGCCTAGTTTCTTGATCGCCATGAAAATTCAACCTTTTTGTAAGACAAGGCTTTTGTTTACATCAAGCCCTTGTCCCGGGTCAATTACAGATAATGTTAATTTACACAATATAACATAACATCACGCCTTTTCTTCCCGAAGGCGATGGCAGAGGTGCACATTACGGCACTTAAAGCCACTGTACAATGTAACAACACCCACTTTTCACTATTTATGTTATGAGTCTAATGTAATAACATGCCTTTCGCCATATACCGGGCACAATTCTAGACTCCGAGCTACTACTGAGATTTTTTTTTAAAACGCTTAATATTTTGCCCGGCTCGGGAATCGAACCCGAGAATCAAATCGAATGCCTTTGCTCGGCAGTCGCACTTGCGACCACTCGGCCAATGAGGCAGTCACTAAAATGAAATGTTAATTTACATTCCATATTAATTTCACAACCAAACATATAGACGTCAAAGCATAAGCGTTAGTAATATTGCTTTGAAACTGGTTAATATAATGAATATTATATGACGTCATCAAGTGAGCCACAATAGGTACGTCCATTGCTGAACGTAGTGAATCGGTGAATCCACCAGTGACTTCCATATATGCCAGTTAGAAACCACCTTCGTCCAGCTATTTACGACCCTCACCATAAAAAATGAAATAAGCGTTCAGCGCTCTGACTGCTTACTACATTTTTTATGGTATAAGCCGGTAAACGAGCTGACGGATCACCTGATGGTAAGCAATCGGCGTCGCCCATGGACACCTGAAAATCTAGAGACGTTACAAGTGCGTGACCGGCGTGACCGATAAGGAACGTGAGGTTTGTTGTGGATTCAGATATTAGGGAGATTGGGGAAGAGGGGTAATTGGGGTAATTGGCCGTATCGGCATCAGCCCTATTGGGCCCCATCCGTGGTGGTCTGATGGCTCTTTGAGGCGCGCGCGGAACGCGACACACGCTCGGGTCTGGTTCTGGTCGAGCAGCGAGGCACTTATGCTTGCCGTCCGCAGGCCCGCGCTTACGGTGGTCGGAGATCGTCCGGAGCGTCCTTCGCGACGGTTGGGTAGTGAGGAGGCAGCGCTTGGCTGCCTCATGCGCCCCGCCTCCTCCATAGCTAGCATGACTGCTTCGCAAAAGGAGGAGACGGCATCCCAGTCCCCCTCGCTCCGCATCATGACCCGCACTAGAGCCGGACGCGAGAGGTCACCGTCACCGATCACATCCCTGAGGGCACGGCGGTACTCAGCCCACGGAGGGCATTCCCCAACTGTGTGTTCCACCATGTCGTCATGGTGGAACACACAGGCGATCGGTCACACCACACAGGTGTCGGCGATCCTCGCAGTGACGACATCCGGGCGTTTCTATGAGGCTGTGAGACTGTGACTCCGGTCGAGCCGGCCCATTCGTGTCGGCATGACTCTCCCACACTCGTAAAATAAATCTAACTAATGTCTCTGAACGTCCTATATTAAAGATGTAACACAACACTAATTAAGTTTGCCTGGTATCGCATTGACTGGCCAAATTCCTACAAAGTAACGTTCTCGAGTTAAATTCCAGGATTGTTCCTTTTGGTTTGGGCGTGAAGTGCACGTGGAATTGTATGTTTGTAAACGCAATCACAACACAGGAGGAAATCCTAATACCTATGTGGCAACATAAAAAAATTCAAGTTCAAACAACTTCAAGTCATTGCCACTGAGATATGCAGTATGAGTTGACCATAACGTTTTTTGACTCAGAGGTCATTGCCAACCACTTATGGTTTCAAAATGGTGACCTTTTTAAGTCAGACGAACTTAATGAATATACAAGACGAGTTATGTATAAGTTTTTATTTTGATTTACGACAGACAGACGGACATAAAGAACAATAGCTTTTCCTTGACTTTGACTTTAGAATCTAATAGCTTTCCACAGTACCTTCTCAATCTTTCCTTAAAAATCTTTTCTATCCAATGGTGAAAGTCACATAAAAATATGTTTAGTAGTTTTTTAGTTAAACCCGAAAAGACTGACGAAGCGGGGTTTTTTTTTAAATCACTTTAATGCATCTATAGTGTGTACAGGGTGGTCTACAATGCAGGATATGTACCTACCTCATAATTACATTTCAATATTTTTACTTGTTGCAAAATTCTTAGCTATTATTTCTATACATATGAACCGACTCAGCGATCAAGTGTAACTGCTAAGTAAGCAGTGTTGGGTTCAATTCTGGGTAAGTATTTTTGAAATTTTTTTAAAAGTCTCAGTTTATTACCTGTATTGATCCTGGAATTTAGCCCGGTGTATCGCAAAAATTTTTGTAGCAATTATCTCTACTTTTCTTCTGGGTACCCAATATAAATGCGAAAGTGAATTTGTGTGTGTGTTCACGTCGAAACGGCTGAAGGGATCGTGAAAATATTTGTAACAGGGATAGATTATGATCTGGTATAAGACCTATGTCGTGGTACCAGAGGTTTAATCGAGACGCCCGCTTCTTCATGAGGGTGCAGGGTCAAAATCTACCACCACGCACCGGCAAGTACCAATGTGACTTTTTCCGAGTTGTATGTACTTTCTAAGATTATTTAAGACACCACTGACAAACGGTAAGGGAAAACATCGTGAGGAAATCTGAGCTTATATATTCTAATTATAAGTGTGTAATCGCCAACCCGCATTGAGCAAGCGTGGTGATTAATGCTCAAACCTTCTCCGTGTGAGAAGAGGTTTTGCTCACCAGTGGGTATTTATAGGCTGTTGATGATTGATGATGTGTGTGACCTAGTGATCTATGGTACTTATGTCCCACGGAACCATGGGCAAAGTCGATTGCAGAAGCATAAGTATATTATTACATAACTTTCAAGATCTCAGTGACGAAACATACAATAAAAAGTCCCCAAAGGTTTTCTCGAGGAAATGTCGAAGTATAAATATTTTATGTATTTTTGCAACAAGCTGATGATTGGACATTAAACGTCACGACTTTTAGTTCTTTAGAGGTCAGGCAGATGTCAATATGTTCAATGCTAAGCCCACTTTTCAAAAGTCATGTTATAAGTGCCACGTAATAGAGGGTGAGCCAAAATAGGTGATAATGGTATCAAATCTATAATTTGGAATAAATACCTTGATTAACTTACATACAATCTAACTTATACATATTCTATTAGACGATATGTATCTGAGTGTATTTTTTTAAGAGGGGAAAATCCTCTCCCGCTTGTGTGAGGAGGGAAGGAGTGTCAGACTCGTACTGATTAAAAACCACCCCGTTCCTACTCCTGCACTTCGAGCCGGAGCCCCGGCAACCCGTTAAGTCTCCCGCAGCTCCGTATCGGCATCAGCCCTATTGGGCCCCATCCGTGGTGGTCTGATGGTTCTTTGAGGCGCGCGCGACGCGACGCACCGTACGCTCGGGTCTGGTTCTGGTCGGGCGGCGAGCTACCCATGCTCGCCGTCCTAGTCGTCGTCGTCTCATTGACTGTGTGTGGTCTATATGCGGTATAAATAAACTAGCTTCAGCCCGCGGCTTCGAACGCGCTCCCGTGGTAAAAAGTACGCTATGTATTATTACCTACCATAATCTAACTCTGTTCAAATTTCATCATGATCCCTTTAGTCGTTTAGACGTGATTGTATAACAAACATATACACAAACACACGAACACACAAACATTCGCATTAATTAAATTAGTAAGACAATGAGTTTGATTTTCCTACCAGCAAATTGCAAAACATTTCAATATTATGTCTACCTACCTAATTGAACGTGTGTGAGAAGTTCGAAAAAAAATTATACTTGTTTTAATATTACGCCATTATCCTCCATTATATATTTGAGTACATAAACAAATAAAACGGTTAGCGAATTACCTATATTACTGAGAACTAAATATATACCTTATTACAAACCAGGTAGGTATTTGTTTACATAGGTGAATATGTACCTAATACCTAGCTATAACTATCATTTTGCTTGGCTTTGGTCATTTGGAATATATGTATATAGTATGACATATTATACATGTTTCTATTAAGTCTATCTATGTTAATCCCTGAAAACTCAAACCTTTTTAATGGTGAAGCAAACCTCTGCCTACACTTTCGGGGTTAATAGGCGTGATGATATGTTATTAACTAAAAAGTAAGCATTTCCATGATGAAAGAATTTTTCAAATCAGTCTAGTATTTCTCAAGCTTGTCTAATGCAAACAAGCAAACAATAATAAAATTATTCGTGTTTATACCAACTGTTAGTACAGACTAGTTTTTATACTTGAATAACTTGTTTTGTTTTCCAAAAAACCACATAACATAACATCACGCCTTTTTACCTCCGAAGGGGTAGGCAGAGGTGCACATTACGGTACTTAATGCCACTGTACAATGCAACATCCACTTTTCACTATTTAATTATTATGAGTCCCATGTTATTGGGGGTGTGCCTATTGCCATAATAATGGACACAATTCCAGAGTCAGTGCTACTAGTGTGCGTGTGTTTTTTTTTAAAACCCATTAATATTTTGCCCGACCTTGGAATCGAACCCGAGACGCACGCCAACGCAGCCCACCAAGACCACTCGGCCAAAGAGGTAGCCTAGTTTCCAAAAAATGATTAATAAAAATATAAATATATTTTTGTAAACTCCAAATTAACTCCATTTCTGTAAACCCAAGGTGACCTTAATAAAAGTATAGGCAAGAATCTAGTCAGCGACAATATCATGCTTGGTTTCCTAACTTTTTTAGGTCATAAAACAGAATTAAATATAATTAAGTATCTACATAGTAATACAATAAACGAACTTACAAAAAACCACACGAAGAACATAACTTTATGACGATTTGTTAGCAAAACAGTGATTTTAAACCGGTTATATATAACATACAATCTATTTATTTAATGTTTTAAATGCATCACTCACCTTCATCAAGTCCAAGTTGACAGTTGACACAGAATAAAAAATTAAATAAAAAAAATAAAAATACTTTTGCAGCCGCCATCTTTTTCCCGCGTTCGGCGGCCAGCGACGAACTCCGCTTAGTTGAAACTGACTTAATAACAACGTAAGGTGAATATTTATTAGCAAATCGGAACCTATAAGATATTATTATAGTTGTGTAGGTATTTATTGTGTTTGCATTCGTATAAAACGTATCAAGAAGTTCATTAGCCGCGAACATGTATTTACATAATGTACCTAATCAATATTTTATTAAAAAAAACCTGATTTGGCCCGAAAATGGACGGACCTTAGGGTACTCCGGCGATATTTATCTACTAATGTGATTCATATAATTGAATTCAGGTTTTTCGAGATTGACCCTTCGCTCATGGGCAATTTATTTGTTAATACTATAGAACTCATATTTTTTCGAAAATGTCATAAAGATACGATTGAATTGTAATGTAATATTTTTATAATATGTGTGACATTCCTGTAAAATTGACATTTATAGAATATTGTGTGTGACATTTATGACATTTTGGGCTAAATTTGTGACATTTTCTCTTTTATAAAATTTATTATTTTATTTTTGAAACTATTATTTTAATTGAAAATTTGTAATTTTCTTTGAGAGTATAACAAAATTTTGACATGTCTGTAAAGTATCTACATTGTTTTTGCACGTCGATGTTGAAGGCAAAATAAGAGGACGTAAGTTATTACAAAATTACAACTATCTGTACCTTATTTACGCAAATAAATAATTTTTGAATTTTGAATTTTGAATTTGATAACAAAAGAATCATCATCATAACATCACGCCTATTATCTTCGAAGGGGTAGACAGAGGTGCACATTATACCACTGTACAATATAACACCCACTTTTCACTATTTATGTTATGAGTCCCATGTAATAGGGGGTGAGCCTATTGCCATATACCGGGCACAATTCCAGACTCCGTGCTACTACTGAGAGTATTTAAAAACCCAGTAATACTTTGTCCGACCCGGGAATCGAACCCGAGACCCCTTGCCCGGCAGTCGCACTTACGACCACTCGGCCAACGAGGCAGTCGATAATAAAGAATGTAGCAGCAAAACTCGTTTTGGTATTAAGTTACTACATACTGTTTTTTATAAGTTCTTTAGGAGCATAATGTATACCTTACGGATACATCTGGAGCCGCGGAAGACTTAACGGGTTACCGGGGCTCCGGCTCGAAGTGCAGGAGTAGGAACGGGGTGGTTTTTAGTCAGTAAGAGTATGACACTCCCTTTCCCTCACCACCCAAGGCGGCAGCAGTCATTGATTAATTTTCCCCCTTACAAAAAGGAAGGTACATCCTACAACTCAAATAACTTAGTCGATTAGGTTGTTAAAAACGATAGAAGTAGGTACCTAGTTACCTAGGAATTTTGCACATTCAATATTTTTACGTACCTACTTTGAATTTACATTCATAATATCTTATGAGTGTTTTGTTTACGTGCATATTATGCACATAAATTATGTATTTCTTTTAAGTACTAGCTGTTGCCCGCGACTTCTTCCGCGTAAGACATGAATTTTAGAACATAACTTTTATTTGTGTCGATTTTCCAAAATAAAATTCCTTAGTACATCCGGTACCTACCAATAAAAGTCTGGCAAAATCGGTGCAGCCATTCCAGAGATTAGCCAGTGCAGACAGACAAAAATTGTAAAAAATATCATTTAGTAAAAAAAATTTTAATGTTACAAACAGACACTAATTTTGTTTATATACAATATATAGATGTATAGATTACAAGTCACAACACATTTCTGAAAGGATCAGATGAGCGTGAATGAATTGCGTGCTTATTAAACCGCGGTATTATTGTAGATACCACTGTCATTAACTAGTAAGGATCTGGAGTTATAAAGTTGTTTAAAATGAAACCGTATGTTATTGGTATTAAGATGTAATATTTAACCATCTGTCAAGCCAAAGATCATCCTGTTTCCTGCGTTCTTTTGTTTCTTCCGGCCAGACGATGCCCTCGATCCAGGGTAAATAGTGTGAGACCCTGGTGTACATGCCAGGCGAGCCGAGGACGCCGCAGTCCTTGCCGAATGACGTCACGCCGACCACTGTGTACTGACATTTGAACTGGTTCGTTTGGAGGGGACCACCGCTGTCACCCTGAAGGATATTAGATTAATATTACATTATATAGGTACTAAAGTACGTTGTCCAACGGATGACCATCGCAACGCGTCGAGACGTCGTCATTTCACCACCTCGCCAGTCCGCGCAAGTTGCTAATGAACATGACTCCTGATTTGACTCGAAACTAGTAGAGCTTTCCTCGTCATTTCAAGCAATTTAACAAAGGTGGTTCACAAATGTAACTTTAAAAATATAATTATTAAATTGAATGCCTTGTCATGAAACTCATCGAGTAATATTTTAAGTTGAACTTCACCAAAGCGGAAATGTCCAAAACTGAACCGAGAAATCTACCATTTGCCTTACCGCCTGGATCTTACCTGGATACCGACATACATATAGGTAATTAATAAATATCATATTTGAGCGAATTTCTCTAGTACCTAAATGGAGAGAGGAGATATACGAATAAGACGAATAACGATACTTTATTGGATGTTGTCTCTGCTTCTATTGTTCCTGCTTTGGTGGACTCCAACCTTAAGATGTTTATTATACCTGGCTGCAAGTACAATATAGGAGATTGTGTTTACCTCACAAGTATCAATTATCTCTCGGTGGTTTCCGTAACACATTTGTTTTTCATGATCGTATCCATGCTTCAGATGTCTGTGCGGTGGGAAGAGTGTTGCACATTCTGTTTCTTCAAACTCCTGGAGATTTACCTATTATGTGAAGTCAAAAATTCTATTCAAATATCATCATGGAATAGTCGTTGTCGTGGTGGTTTGAATCCTACCAACGGCAAGTACCAATGTGACTTTTTCCAATTCGTATGTACTCTCTAAGATTTGTTAGACACCACTCACAAACAGTGTGGGAAAACATCGTGAGGAAACTGGGGCTTATAATTTCTTATTATGAGTTTAAATTCGCCACCCCACATTGAGTAAGAGTGGCGATTGATGCTCAAACCTTCTTTATATAAGAAAAAAGGCCTTTGGTTAGCAGTGACCACTTATAGGCTGATGATGATGACCATTATGGAAAACAATGTGGAAAAAATATAGGCGTGTCAAGCTAATGAATAAATTTAGAATTAAAGCTTGTATGTTGATATACTTCATTTATTAATTCCTCATTTTCACCTATTATACGGTAACATACTACATTTTTGACTTGTTAATGTGGGATTAAAAATGTTGGTCACCTTAATGATACGACTTACGAAGGTATTTCTTAATAAGTATTAGTTACTTACTACTTGCAATGTATCAGCTAAACCCATCATATGACCCAAACGGCCCCAACCGGAAGCTTCAGCCATCCGTGGGTTGTCTTTTCCTGTATCCAAACACGCTGGTAGGAGATTTTTAGCAAAGTTTATCCTGAAATATCAGTTATTATATTACCTCTACATTGTGCTACATAATAACAGTCCACTTTAATTTTACAGAATGGGCCTAATATGGTTCCCTGAGGAACACCTATAACTCAATGGCATAGAGATGAGGTACTGCTATCAGTTGTATTGTTAGACACATATTATTAGGATTGAAATATATAAATATCATGATTTTCTATAATTCACTACATATCTTATAATAAAAGTAAAGTGACAATATCTAGCATCAATTGTATCAAACGCTCTTGCAGCATAAGATAAATACATCTATAAGTAAGCTCAAACACTTACTCAGCTTCTGTCTCCAGAAGGGCGATATCATGGTATTTGGAAGGAGGATTGTATTCAGGATGGGGAATTATTCTTTTAATTTTATGTATGTTCCACAATTCCTTCGGATCAGTGCGTTTTAGTATTCCAAGTGCAGCATATGAGACGTTTCCCCTAGAATTTACAAAACAGTCATTGATCATTTAAATATGATCGAGGTGAATATGTAAAAACCTAATATACTGTAAACTAAAACTTACAAAGCTCTGGTGGAGATGCAGTGTGCAGCAGTGAGTATGAATCTCTCACTGATCACAGTTCCTCCGCAAAGCCATTGCGCCGATTTCTCATCACCTCCATAACCAAGTAAAGCCTTAAATTAAGAGCAGTAAAAATGTATTTAAAAGGTAAGATATATTAAGAGCATAAAAGATTAAATTTTGGTTTGTTCCTGGATGTATAATTCGCAATACGAAATCTCGAGAAGCCACTGGATGTAGATCGCTTTCAGTTTGCTGATCTAGGAGGCGTTATGTTCAGCAATGGAAGTCCTACGGTTAATATGATGATGATGATGATTGAATCTTACTCATCTAGATAGTTTTTATATGACTCACCATATGAGGAAATTCCCATCTCTGTGCACTTCTTCCCCCAACAACTAAAGCTACCTTTATCATGTAATCGTGACATTTTTTATCTTCTTTCCAGATTTTTTTCACCTCGAAATTTCCTTGACCCCGGCATGGGTACGGCAGACGATGGAAATAATCTAGACATTCTAAAAGGAAAGAAATATTGTGGAATAGGAAAATGTCATGATTAATCTTGTACTGTGGCTACATTAAAATATCCGAACCACTACGTCAAATGTACAGTTGAATATAGATACTTATTGAAGCATATTAAATTAACAAAAAATATGCCAGTTATTTACTTACTTGTCCTAGCAACTGGGCCTTTAGCGTTAGTAAGAGTAGCGAATGGGCCTATGGCAGTATCACGGTATCTGAAATAATAAATTGCAACAAATTAATTAATTTAAATATATTATAATTATGTATTCCCAAACAGATTCACTACTCGGCTCCTAATGTAATTGTTGTACTTACCGTTCTGCGTCAGAAATATCGCATTCAGTGCAGCAGACTACAGGTTCATTGTTTTTATACGAACAAATGTCAGGCAATCCTGGATAATTAAACTTTTCTTTGGAGAAACCAGCATCAGCCTGAAATGTGCGATAGTAAATTGAATCAGTTGGCAGACAAACAAACGGTTCACCTGATGATAAGCAACCGACACTAGCACCAGAGGGGTTTCAAGTGCGTTGCCAGCCTTTTGAAGATTTGGGAACTGCAGAGGATGGATAGAGGAGGATTGGAATCTTTAGTGTTCAATATACGAATCGCCTAAAGATCGTAAAACCCTTAAAAGTAATGAAGGTAATACCAACTGAAGATCTTTGGAAAACATCGGTATTAATAAAATATGAAAGACAAGAAAAGGGATGCTGGCAATACCCGAACGTTTCTTCCAATCTGCTTATCAAGCGAAGTGATTATGACAATTGTTCTTTTAAAGAGAAGGCCCATAGTGCAGTAGTGGTATGGGCTTTTGATATTGATTTCATAATTAATCTACATATATAAAATTCAAAGGTGATTGACTGACTGACTGATTGACTGACTGACATAGTGATCTATCAACGCACAGCCCAAACCGCTGGACAGATTGGGCTAAAATTTAGCATACAGATAGATGTTATGACGTAGGCATTCGCTAAGAAAGGATTTTGATAATTTCCACCCCCAAGGGGGTAAAAAAGGGGATGAAAGTTTGTATGAGACTTTGTCAGTTTTAAACCGATCGGGTTGTAATTTGGCATGCAGATAGATGTTATGACGTAAGCATCCGATGTGAAAGGATTTTGATAATTTCCACCCCCAATGGGGGTAAAATAGGGGATGAAAGTTTGTATGAGACTTTGTCAGTTTTAAACCGATCGGGTTGTAATTTGGCATGCAGATAGATGTTATGACGTAAGCATCCGCTGTGAAAGGATTTTGATAATTTCCACCCCCAAGGGGG